TTCCTGGCGGCCGGCCCTCCTCCCCGTGATGCGAATGGCGGAGCTGCCCGGCGCAGCCTGTCCGTCCTCATGCTGGATCTGGGAGGCTCGCTCAGCTGCACATTATCCGAAGGCCCTGGATAGAAGACTCTAAGGTCTTGAAGTCCCAAATGGTCATGGCTCCATCGATGCCAGTAGTGCAAAATTTGCGACAATCTTGCTTGTCTACCTCATAAATAGACACTTGAGTGATACTGTTCTGGTGCAGCATCTCCAGGGCCGGCTTGCGGTCCTCGGTCGTGGCCCGCTTGCCCATGTTGCGGAAGCGCTCCCTGGCTGACATGTTGCTCTGGATGCTCTGTTTCGGGATGTCTAGCTTGGAGACAAAGGTCAAGCAGCCGCGGTCGCTGTAGTTAAAGAGCATGGGGCAGCAGTCATGGCCAGCAGCCAGGACGCTGTTCTCCGAGATGAAGGACACATTTAGGAGGGGCAGGAACTCTGTCTTCAGAGTTGAGATCTGCATGCTTTTTGAGGCATCGGCAACGGACACGGTGCCGTCGTGGCTGACCCAGGCCAGGCGGCTCCCGCTGGCGGAGAAGCTGACCTTGCGCACCCAGCCGCCAGTGTCACTGCCACCAAACTCTGACATCAGACGACCAAAAGTCATCTTGCTGGCCCAGGGCATACTGGCTGGCTTCTCATCCACTTCTTTAATGTAGGCAGAAAACACTCTGCATTTGAAATCACAGGATCCTGCTGCCAGCAAGACATTGTTGGGATGCCAATCCAAGCTGAGGACTGTGGAGCGAATGGGTTTTTTAATGTGCTTGCTTACATCATTTTCGGACTTGAAGTAACAAACAGAAATGAGTCGTGCTTCGCTGCCCACAGCAAATTTGTTCTCTGGCGGGGACCACTTGACAAAAGTGGCTGCACAGTTAATTCTCAGAATCACCAGGGTTTGGCTTCCAGACACCATCCTTCTGATCCCAGACGTAGGCATTGCGGTCAGCCCCACAAGTGACGACGCGGTCACTCTTGGGAGCCCAGTCGATACCTGTGATGTGTCCGCTGTGCTCCTTGAGTTCATGAGCTTTCACCCGCTGGCTCCCGAACTTCTCATAGATGTGGACTTCGTGGTTATTGCGGCTAAGGGCAATGGGTACGATCCCTGTTCCAGGCATGACAGGTGATTGGCTCTAGCAAAAATTGATGTAGGGACATTATTCTTCGTGTTTTCAAAGGACAGAAAGCTGGGGGTCGGGGCCGTCCGGATGGGCTCGGATTGTTAAATTCCCAGACTCTGTCAATCAACGTGAACAGGCTCCTGCGGGCTTGAGCAGAGGGCCAAGGCCCGCATCCTTTTCAATATTTGTTATATTCTGGTTTTTCGTTTTCATTTTTGCTTTTTTAAAAAGAATAGCCATACTACTGGAGATATCTCATTGTGGCGTTCGTTTTGTTTTGTGTTTTTGCATTATCGATGCTGGAGGTAGGTTCCAGTTTGCCCTCATGGATTTTAGTGGCTGTCATGAGGTCTACTTTATTCTTGCAGTTTCTTTGTCCTTACGCTTCCCCACGTCACTTCTAGCCTTTCTTCTGACTTCGGATTTACAACCACAGCGCCTTCAGACCCACTGCCATGCACAATGGAGTTGAAGCTTTGGCCATAAATCGTCCTTATTCACCTCGGATGCTCTTTAGCCTGTTTTACTTTGTTTGATACCAGGATCACAGCTTCTGCTCTTTTAGAGTTGGCCTTTCCTTTACGAGCAAATTTGAAACTCTTTTAACAGGCCAATTAAGTGCATTTGTAAATTCATATACTGGTATGGTTTGGTCTCCACTCTGTCTTGTTATTTTCTGTTCTAATTACTGCATGTATTATGGTATACTTATTGTGTTTCTTTCACCATTTGGTGTGTATTCTTTGCTATTTAAAAATTTTTTTTCTTTTAGGGTTTTGGAACAGGGTTTCCAATATTTTGGAATATTTATGTTTGGCTTTAGTGGTTTTTATATTTTTACATTAATTCTTTTCTTTTTTCTTAACCCTTTAACATCTGGTCTGTCCATTTTATATGGTGTCATTTGATTAGCAACTATTACCTATTTAACAGTCAGTTACATGATTATGTTTCCCCTCTTCTCTCTCCCTTCTCCTTCAGGTTTTTTCAGTTGCACCTGTTCTATTTGATTAGAAAGTATGTGTATATACTAGTCTTCCCATCCGTCATTTGGCGGTTTCCTCAGTTATCTCTTGTTTGGGGGAAGCTCATTCTCCAGGAAAGGCATAGGATGCTCTCTAAATTTTTGTACTCAGTCCTCATCTGTCTGTCTATAGCTTTGATCCTTAAAGGCTGGACACAAAAATCCTTGGCTGGTACTTTCTTTCCTTAGTGTCTTGTAAATACTGCTCCACTGTTGCATTGCTCTGTATGTTGCCAGCCTCAATATTTTTATTTCTATAAGTAATTTGATCTTTTTGCCTTTAAAATCTAATGGTTTTACTAAAACATATTTTGGAGTTGATTATTCCACTCAGTTTTCCAAGGTACATGGAAGGTACTTGCAATATATAATTTAAATTTTCTCTTATTTCTGGCTTATTTTCTGGGATTATAGTTCCCCCCCTAGTTTTATTGAGATATGATTGACATATAGCACTGTGCACAGCATAATGGCTTGACTAACATATATTGTGAAATGAGTATCACAATACTCATTTAATATTCATCATCTCATTTAGATACAAAAAAAGGAAAGAAAGAAAAAATGTTCTGTTCCCGGTAATGAGAAACTCTTAGGGCACACTCTGTTAACAACCTTCAAAAGTACCATACAGCAGTGGTAACTATTGCCATCGTGCTGTATGTTACATCTGGGATGACGGTGTTAAAATTAATTTTGCTTCACTGTTTGGTGTTTCTACTTTAGAGACTCCAGTGACATGTATTTTGGTTCTTGTTTCCTGGCTTTCACTTCAACCACTTATCTCTGAAAGCTTTTTACTCCTTTCTTTATCTTATTTTCAATTTCTTGAATATTTTCTTGCCGTTCTTCAGTGTCCTTTTACATATTTGTATTTGATATATTCTCCCTTGGGCGTCTTGTAATTCTTCTTTGTTTCTGGGATACTTTTGTCTTTATTTTCGATTTCTATCCTGAATCTTATCAACTCCTGCTGTATTTTTTCCTAATTTTTGCCTAATATATTCTTAGGTTTTGAATTTCTGATTCTAGCTGTGTGTGTGTGTGTGTGTATGTGTGTGTGTGTGTGTGTATGTGTGTGTGTGGGGGGGGGTGTATCCAAATATATGACACTTTGTTCAGCTTGAGAGTTTGACATAAGGTCTTACAATTTTCCTCTGCTTTGTCTTTTTATTGATTCCTCAGGTGAAATGTTATGATTCATCTTCTCATCATAAGAGATGTATTTTTTTTTTCTTTTTGTAGTAGATTTATATGCAGCTATTTTGATGTTTTAGTGCTACTAGATATTTTGACACAGGGTTCATAGTTCAAGAATGTCCTCTTCTCACTGTATACTGATGTGCAGTTTTTAGTAGATAACCACACTGAGGGAGGGATTGGTTGTCTTTTATTTCTGCGGATCTATAATTCTCTCTTTTCCTTCACCACAAGACCTCCGAAGGGCATTGCCCTTTCTCTATTTATCTGACTTTTCCCAGAAGCAAGACTTCTTCAAGGCTGCCACCTCCTGTCCCATTCTCTTTCAAACCTCTTCTCTTTTCCACTCAAGTACCCAACCTGTGTTCAGTATTTAGCTCTTGGTGTTGGACTTTCTCTTCATAGAAGGATTTAAGCCTGGGTTTCACTTAAGTCCTTGGCAACGGTGGACGGAGCTCTGTTGGAATTTGAGGTATTTTCTTTCTTCTACTTAAGAAGTAATTTGAAGTTCAGTTCGTGACATTCGCTCTCCTAGTAGAGCTGAAGGCTTGTTTGTTTGTGCTCGTGTTTTATTGAGGATGTGAGTAGAGATTCAGATGCAGGCAGCTGCTTTTGTCCTCTGGACTGGTCAGCTTCCGGAATCCCTTTTAAAATATCAAGCGCTAAGTAACATTTCTTTCTTTCCTAGGAACACTGGAAACTTTGCTGTTACAAGGGCATCGCCAAGGTTACACAGATTCTGTTACAAGACAGGTCTGTCTTCTTGCATCTTTAAAGCTGTTTCGTGTGCTGCCTCTTCTTTCTTCTTTTAATACAGCAACCAGTCACAAAGAAAACAATTTACAAATATATATTGCCTTCCTTCTTCCTCATTTCGTGTTTACTTAAAAACAAAAAAGAAAACCCTGCTATTCAGCACTCCGTTCATCCCTGGAAACATGCTCCCTTAAAAAATCACCTCTCGGTTTCTACCTCCAGGCCGCCACCTCTGCCTAAATAAATAAATAAAATGGACACCTGGGGATCCATCCCCACCAGGGATGTTTTGCTGCAAGATTAGTAAGAAAACTGCAGCGAGCAGCCGCCAAGTCGGGTCCCGGAGGTGGATTTGCACCAAAAAACTCAGGTCGGTGGGCCAATAAGAGCGAGCCTGCCAGGGGGCTGGGGTGGTCCCAAAGACCAAGGACCGCGGAAGTGGCGCTGCCGGCCGGGCAGCGCGCGGCAGCAGCGACCGGGGGTCCCTGCTGCGGGCGACCGTGTGTGTGCGCACAGGTGCGCGCGCCCCGCGGGCGCCCGGCGGCCACCTGTCACTCACGGGGGTGGCGGGGCGGCGGCCTGCGGAGGCCCTCCCCGCGGGGCCGGCGCGCCGCCGCGGTGGAGACGCGGTAATCCCCTCCTCCGCCCGCGCCGGGCCCCCGCAGCCGCCGCCGATTGGTCGCCCTTTGCTCCCTGACCCCCTCGCTGCCTTCGCGGCCGCCGCTTCCTGCTCGGGCGCGGCGCGGCGCTCCCGGCCGGGGCGGAGCTTGGGCGCCGGGCGCGCACCGCCCTCGCCGCCAGCCGCGCCGGAGGAGGAGCCGCCGCGCCCTTCCCCTTCCTCCGCTCCTCCCCGGCCCGCGCCCGCCGCGGCCCCAGGCAGACTCGCGAGCAGCGGCCGCGGCCGGCGGCCGAGTCGGGAGGATGCGGCGGCGCTCGCGGATGCTGCTCTGCTTCGCCTTCCTGTGGGTGCTAGGCATCGCCTACTACATGTACTCGGGGGGCGGCTCCGCGCTGGCCGCGGGCGCGGGCGGCGGCGCCGGCAGGAAGGTGAGTGGGGCGCGCGGCCCGGCCCCGGAACCCCCGGCGCCCACGCGCCCCGGCCGCGCCGCGGGGCACCGAGGGGGGTTCCTGGTCCCTCCTGCCCTTCTCCGTCCGGACCTCCGCTCCGGCCACCCGCCCCGGGTCTCCCGGCCGTGTCTCCGAGGCTGGGGGCGCTCCCGGCCCCTCTGCGCTCGCCTGGTTCGGGAGAGGGCGACCCGGCGCAGCCCCCGGGACTGGGGCCGCCGACGCCTCTTGTCGCCCCCCGCCCCAGCTCTCCGCTGCACGTAATTTGAGTTGAGTTTCGTCTGGCTGCCGGGAGCCCGGTCCCCTGCGGTGGGACGTTTGGGGGTGGGGATGTTGGGAAGCACAAAAGCGGGTGGGGGGGAGGGCGAGAGGCGGCCGCCTTTGCGACGTGTCACGTACCTGGGGAGACGGGAGTCCAAGTTTCTTTTCAGCCCTTTGATACCCGCCGCTGCAATGCCCCCTCCCCCTTGTCGCCGCGCCGCGGGGAGGGGGCAGTTCTGGGTCTCGGCCCGGTACCTCTGGGGACGGGGGCGCCGCCAGCCCCGCGCTCGACGGAACGGACCTCCCCGGCGATGCAGGCGGAGGGCCCCCGCGCCCCTGCGCCCCGGACGAGGCAGGCCACCCACCCACACCCCGAGACCGTCCCTTCCCGGACCCCGCGCCCGACTCGGCCGGCCCTCCCGCGCGGCCCCCGGCGCCCGCCTGTCCCAGCCCCACGCCCCCGTTCCGCGGGGTGGTCCCTCTGCTGTGTGTGTTCCCGGCGGGCTCCAGGGGCCGAGGGAGTGGGCCGTGGGGACCGCGTGAGCCGCTGTGGACGGCCGGGCGCCCTCCGGAGGAAATGGAGCGCCCAGGGCGCCGGGGCCCCGCGATCCCGCTGGGAGAGCGGGGCTCTGGGCTGTGCACTTGCCGCCAGCGGTGTTTGTGGGGTTTGGTGGCAACCAGGCTTTGAAAGCGGCCTCCACACGGTGTAACCCCTCTGCTGTGACATTTGGTGTCACCGCAAACCCAGGAAATTCTGAGTTAATGGAGGTGGACCGTGGGTTGGGCAGGAACCAGGGAATGGTGTCCTGGAACAAGCAAGCCAGAGTAACTGGATGAAAAGACTTTAGCCCTAAAGTCAGACCGTAAACGTCAACGCTGAGGTTCAGCTGCTTCAGAGGTTTCCTTCCTTCCTTCCTCCTTTCATTCATTCTTAGCTGAAGGTGTTAGATTCATGGTAAATTTCGTAGGCTTGCTTTATCTAGAGGGGCAGAAATGAAAAGTCTTTCCATGTGCAGAATTGGCCTCGCTTATTTCTGAGCTGACATGTGCTCTTAGCCCTGTTTTCTTTCCCTCTTTT